AGTTGGACACAATTGACTTTTTGCCCAATACAGCTGATTTTAGGCCACCTGATCAATTGATTGAGCAAACTTGAACCGCAAGACTTGAAACTTGACATGAGAAATCTTGAAGATTCATAATGATCCATGAAAGTCATATGCGGCATTAAAAGTCCAATTTTCCTTGTGAAAACTCAAACCCTAATTTGAGGCATCAGTGTTGAGGAGATGTCTTGACCTAGTCCATACTTGTGCAAGCTTGAGCCATTGAAGATCTTGTGATGAATGTATTGAGAAAGGAGAGGGCAAATTTTGGGGTACAACAGCTTGCCCTGTTCAATCTTCTTAAACCTAAAGAGTTAGATTGGCGAATCTGCCATTCGTGACTTGAAGGTGAAAGATGATTGAGCACTAAAGTGCCCAGAAATTTGCACTCGATAATGTGTTGATTGTATTGGAAATGGGCTTAAAGATGCCATCTGGAGAAATGATGAAGAGTTTGTCGGAGATGGGCTTACTGATGTCATCCATAGTGGCTGTTGATAGAGATTGGAGAAGGTATCCGGATAAATCTTTGGCCGATTTATACTGAAACTGTAGGCATCTTTTGCCCGTCTTTAATTGGGAGAAATAACTCTAATCCAGAAGTGGCATGCTGATTACCTATTATTAACTGGAAGAAGTAAATCCAATCAGAAGAGGGCTTTTGTTTTGTTGATTAACTTTTCTTGTAAGGAACAGGGTTAGTTGCATGCAGATGTATGCATGACCTTAAATGATTGTACAAGGTAAAAAAATTCTACAAAATATGATCGTACAAGGTAAAAAAATTCTACAAAATATATAAAAAGAAATAGATAAACATATTTATATGAAGAAAAAATAGTAACAAGATCATGAATTATATTATATTAATTCAGATATATTGAGAGTAAAAAAATAACGTAGAACCTGACTATATCATCACTCACACTGAAGAGTCTCGTGCCGATAACGTGTTATGAAATTAACCAAAACAATATAGAAATGAAGGAGAGATGAATGAGAGAAAGAGAAGAGAGAAAATAAGCTTGTATTATTATCTTCAAATTTACTTAATATTATAACATGAATCATATTTATAGTAGATGATCACTAACAACCATTAACTCAAAAAATACACAAATATTAGAAAATTAACTTATAAAAGTTAAAGAATATAGAAAATTAGATAAACAGACATCCACGTCTATTTACTATTATTCATAACAAAATTAAAATTATTAAAAAAAGGAATCCCATTCATCCTAGAGCCAAGTGCTCCTAAGAAGATAGATATTTTCACTTTACCCAACCTAAAAAAATTTCTAACAAAAAATACACAAATTCTCTCTTATTATTGATGTCATTATATAAACTACCTTTTCCCTTCTGTTATAAACAGTTATAATCAATTATCTATTTAGAATTTCTATTAGGCTCAGGCCCAAATCCAGATTCCTATCAATTACTACTTGTGACCTTGAATATAAGAAAAATAATATGTTTATATTTTTTTTATCTCAAATATAATCAAGTATAGCGTATTTAATGATCTCAAAAATATAGGAAAGGAAAAAATATTCATATTTTTAAGACAATGCACTTATCTCTTTTACGGGATCTAGAAAATTAATTTACCAACCACACTAACAAAGAAGCAATGACTGGTCAAGTATGAGACAACTAATTAGTTTACGAACCAATTTTTAATACATTTTATTGTACACAAGAACCACCTCTTTTTTCCAAAGGTTTGCATCAAGTTTTATGCGAGTATCGATTGGTCTATAAGCATTCATTCTAGTTTTCTTTAAAAGATCTAAAATATATTTTTGTTGGAAAATGGTAACTCTCTCCTTTGAATGGACAACCTTCATACTAAAAAAGTAGTTCAAAAGTCATTGATTCTTTATTACAAAGTTGACAAGTTAATTTCTCTTTTACTCTAACCATGCTATCTATGTCATCTATGATAAAAATAATATCAACTACATAATATAATGATCTAGGATAAAAATAATAATATCATTTACATAACATAACATATTGTTATCATCATTATTTAAAACAAAAAATATTCCAAATTAAGAAATTATTTGTTTAGAATGTGGTAGATATTCATCTCTAAAGTCAAAGTAATAGAGTCCTCAACTCACCTTAGTACTATCAATTGGCTTCTCTGAGTTCAAATTCTAAAAGACGCAATAAAAACGAAATTTTTTTATTAGCTAATGTTGATTTTGAGCGAATTTACTGAATAACATCATACTACAAGAAAAATTTGGAACATAAAAGACATATATAAGGTTAGACTTGAAGACGCAAGTGAACCTTAATAGCAGTGGTTGAAAAAAAGATGTATGTAACTTTTATATTATTATATCTGCACATGAATTATATAAAAAAAAATTATAGATTCACCAATCATATGATCAGAAATAGTTCATGAATCTACTATCCATGTGTGATTAAGAGTGACACTAAAACATGTACCATTTTTAGCTATAGAGCATGAAGGAATTGACTCGAAAAGTTTTGACAATTTGCATATTTGTTCCAAAGAAAATGGCTGTTGAGTCAAGGATGCCCTTGATCAGAATCGTTAGCCTGAAGTATACGACCCTCATTACCACGTTTTTTCTTCTAATTAGTGGATTTTTCATTGAACTTCCAGCATGTTTCACGAGTATGTCATGCACACTAATTACACCATGGTTTGTTTAGCTTCCTACCTTCATTGAAGTTTTTAGCGGCAATAATTGAACTTTCATGTTCAGTACCATGAGGCATATTTTCCATCATAACTCCTTGATGTGCCTCCTCCTCCCTCCTATTTCAGAAAAAAAATTCCCAAAGTTTAGTAATGATCTTTTCTAAAAGGATTAAATACATTTTATCTTCCTACAATAATAGTAGTTTTAATTTACTTTCTTTTAAAAAAATATATTCTTTTAACCTCTCAATAAAATATGATTCCTTTCAATTTGACATTGGGTCAAGATTCTAACATAATTTGCATATATAGCACTTGACGTGACTTTTTTAATTTTTTTTAATTTTTTTTAATTTCACATGGAAATTCGACTATTTTTTTAATTTTTTTTTAAATTTTTAATCCTTTTTAATTTTTTTTTATTTATCCCCATTTAAATTTGATACATTAATTTTGTGTGGTACTTAATTTTTCTGGTAGATACTTAATTTTACTTTTTTGGACGGTCGAAAATATGAATCTAATAATGTACACGATCGAAAATATAATATACACGTGAGTAGAAAATACGAATCTAATAAATTAGTAGTTAAAATACATTGTATTTTGTTGAAGTTTTTTTTCTTCTGAAAACAAGTAATATATAAAGGGAGTATTAGGGATACTCAACTCCACTTATAACAGCAAGATTCCAAACTAAGTGCACCATATTTAAAACACGGAATTGAGTTCTTATATAAGCTACTATATTTATCTATCTACAATAACTAATAATTCAGCATATCTATGAGAACTTGATAATAATGTTCAAGTAATAACAACTTAGACTAAATATTTTAGAGACTAATTAATTTTACACTATCACCCAATTAGAATTAAATTTTTTTAATAATTATTTTTTTTATATTTTTCTCTTTTTATATGTTAGAATAATTAATTTTAATTGGATAACAATATAAAATAATTTTAAATTGACAGTGTATTTTAATTAATCTTAATATTTTATTATATAATGTGTGCCTCACAAATTTTTTTTGCTGATAAAATAATTAATGATTTTCACCAGATTATTTTTTATATTGACCTTAATGTTATTTTTTTCTAGTGCATTATTTTTTTTCTAAAGTTTCAAATGTCAAGTGTTTGCTTAAAATTATATTATCGATGATTCAACTCGATTAAGTTGTATTTTATCCAACCATCAATACCCATGAAATGTTTTTGATACTCGATCTTCGCCATCCTCCTATTATCGGAATCAGGAGCAAACCATTCAACGTTTATGGACAAAATTTCGACCGTTCAAAAAAACAAAATTAAATACCTACCAAAAACATTAAGTACCACACAAAATTAATGATCAAATTAATATGATATAAATAAAACAAAACAATAACCTTGTCTAAGTAGGAGAAAATTAAAATTAAAAATTTTTTTAAAAAAAAATTAACAAAAACTTAAAAAAAAATTTAAAAATATATAAAAAAAAAAAATCGAATTTTCATGTGAAATTTAAAAAAAAAAAAAAAAAAAAAATCACGTCAGTGCCACATTATACAGGTTTTGCTGAAATTTTGATCCAAAGTTAAATTGAAGGAAATATTATTTTATTCAGCATCTAACCTCATCAAAATGTTTTATTCAGTCCAATAAGAAACATGAAGACACAGTCATTTTCTTGCATCTTGAAGAACAAGACACTATCTTCTCATTTTCAGCTGTCATCATAACAAAGATCGAATACATGCCATATGGTTAACATTTCATTGCAATACCATATGTTTTTATATTTAGAGAAAAATAAGTGCTTGAGAACAAAAATGAAGCACATCATGCATGATTATATCTAGATAATTTCAAATTCATTACAAGCAAATGTATGTCATAACCAAACTTTTAGAGAGTCATTTTCCTCAACTAAGAGAAAATAGATTTACATATTTTTGAAGTCGTGAAATGACATAAAATTGCCACAAGAGTCTAGTGAACTACTAACATATGATACAAATTTAAACTACACTCTTAACTCAGCCTTTGTTCAGATCTGATTATCAGAACACTATTTTACAACATGTAAATTTGTAACATATTTTCATGGTCTACTTTTCTTCCAAATGAGAAAGAAAAAGATGAACCCTAGTAGTACACATAACATCTCTATAATCAAACATACAAATGGCAAAGGTATCTGATCAGGGAAGAACTGTTGTTTACACCCAAAAATATTAACTTATCATCTCGGCTAGCTTTCCAGTTCGACAACATTTGAATAAACTTTTTGTACAACCTACTCGCTAATTTCACCTTGTCTGATTCTCCTCGATTTTTCCATCCTTTGATTCACTTGATGCTTTGAGTTTTGATCGACTAGCAACATGCGTGACATAACATATGACAAGAGTTCTTCGCGGTGCGAGAACGTGAAGTCCAAATGCGCGTATTCAAATTCGTTATACAAAACATTTACACCGGCACTTTTCATCAATCTATAGTGTCTCTTTACCATTGAAGGTCGAATAACTTTGTCTTTATGTCCAGCAACAAGATCAACAGGAATGTCTATAAGCCCGTAGTGTTTACCTAAGTCCAAAGGCTCGGGTGAACCGTAGGCTTGTCTATTTGCAGAGGCACTCCCGTAATCGAACATTCTAAACCTTCCAACACGTTTAATCTGCGCAAGATGGAGAGCAACACGAAAAGACACTCCCGGCATGTCGTTCATGTTGTAGTGTGGTAGTCCTAAAACTCCGACCCAATTTGAGCTATCTCCACCAACAACATAACTCATTAAGGTTTGAACCAGTCCTCCGACGGCAGGTAGGTTATGAAGATCCCGAGCTAACTTAAAAACAAGCATGCGAAAAAATCGTGTAGGTATATAAAACGCAGGCACAACATGAGACAAAACGGGAGCCGCAATAGTTAATAGAATCTCTGCCATAGAAAAAACTATGTTAGAATCATCATGAAAACCGGCCGGAGATAGTAAAATCAATCTTGAAAGTCTATGTGGCTTCTCTTCTATCCTTCGCGTAACAATATACATTATCATTGCGGCTCCTCCTAAACTATGAGAAATCGCACAAAGCTTGTAAAGCTGATCGTCATCGGTTTCCTCCTCAATATCAGGTTTACTAAGCTTCAATTCAGCAGTTTTCACTTCATCGATTTTCTCAATCATAGCAGGAATATCCTCCGTCGCGTGCTCGTTGACGGAGTACTGCCAATATCTGCATCACATCAATCCCATTACATAAATAAAATTGCATACTATACAAAACCATATTATATCAAATCAAAGTCAAACAACAAAACAGATTTGTTGAGAACTTACTGTCGCGATGATATGTTCTTGTTGACATGTTCTCTGGAAACCAAACCACGAAAGTTCCCGAGAAATACATCATACCCTGCAGATAGAATAAAAACTCTGCATTAATAATTCCGAGAAAAAAAATTCCTTACGAGAGCACATATATTAAATCGACAATTATATAACAAACCTTGATCATAGGCCGCAAAAGCTGGAGAGCCAACAACACCATTAGATACCCAACTGAATCAAAATAAACAAAAAAGTATATACATTAACTAAATCGCAGAAATATTTTTCTTCCAAATACGAGTTTTCAAACGTTAATAAATCTTTGGTAAATTAAATCGCATAATCAAGCAAGAACCGAGCAAAATAGAGATAACATAACTCACCCCATTGATGAATCAAAAACACCATGCTGAAGAAAAACAGCTTTTTTAGCATCTCGCCTGTGAAATGATATTACAAGGATTAGACGTAGCCATTTCTGAATTCTATAGTACTTAATCATAAATAAGTGTTGAACTCAAAGGGGTATATCATTGAATTGACGAAGATCCATTTAACTTTCTGTAAAAAAGTGAATACTTTACCGAGGTATTCTTTCCAAAAGAAGAATATATCCATCAGCAGTAATCACGCGAATAGCTTCGTACGGATACCTGTCACATGTATAACGAGAAATCATGAAGTTGGAAATAAGATGCCAAAATAAAACGAACATACATTAAGGAATTTGGATTGCTTGTAATCAACAAACTCAGCACACAGATGGTTGTTGGATCGAGATGAGACGGTGTGGATTTCAAGCTCAAAAATCTGAATTAAAATTTCAACCAGTTGGGCTTGATCCAACGGCCACCAGTGTTCTGGCTATACGAATGTGTGAGATTTACGGCTGCAAGCAATTATAAAGGAAGCTATACGACAGCAATTACCCGAGATCTGTTATGACATCCTGACATGTACGCGCCTCGGTATTCAAAGACTGATAGTTGATTTTCCTCTTAGGCAGTGCAGGGTCTTCATCCCCTAGCGTGGATGTAGAAGTCGATGCATCCTCAGCAGAATTTCGAATTTCTTCATTGCCACTTTCGTGAGATGTAAACAACCTGAATAATGCACCAAAAGCTTTTGTCGGAGATAGGAGAAGATGTGCTCCTTTGCGAACAACATCGAAGACAGCTTCTATACATATCTCAATACCAAGATGAAGATCCTGTTTGAAGATTTGAAGATTACGATTTATCGACAGTGCAAAAAATCTTTATACTGACAAGGCATATGAATTAAATCTATGAATAAACATAATGAAAACTTTAATCAATAGAAACTATTGCTGCGAACCTCTACAACGCCGCGTCTTCTATCAGTAGCACGATGGATAAAGTGATCCTTGATGCTTTGCACTCTCCTATATGCATGTAAATGTGAAGGGCGTTTCTCTCTAGAGATATGTAGCACTTTTAACACCACAAAATAAGCTAAATTGAGAAGACGAAGCGGAATCCTCAGCAAGAATTTTACAGGAAGTAAAATCCAAAGTAAGATATATTGGATCCAGTTCATCTGATGCCTACTGTTTCTAGTAAAAGCAGCTTCAGAGGCTCTAGAACTATGTGACGCGGGAGACGGAGGGCATTCATATCTATCACTATCTTCTTCTCCGGACGATGAGTATTCAAGGCTTGAGTTATCAGAGTCCATAGAAAGTTCGTGAATGAATTGGTTGAAATTGGACGCGCCGCTACAAATGGAAAAACCACGGTAAAGAAAACAGCGCCGTTATTTGTCAGCATTTTATACCAAAACTTCGTGCTATAGCTACTAATGGAATAATGATAAGTCTTACTTCTCCATCCAACGCGGAAACCGCGGTCCTCGAAAAGTCGGCCTGAGTTCCCAACCATGAATACCTTCAAGTATTTTCGCATTTCCAGGAAGTAATGCCAACAAAAGTGCAGATATTCCATTGATTATCCTAACTATATTATTCAATGACTCACAAGTAACAGCTTTCACTGACCTGCACAGAAAACCATTAAAACCCTAACAAACATGGTTTTTCTGCTAAATCTTTCCACAAAAAGCAAAATTATGGCCAAATCCTTTAGATTAGCAATTAAACAACATCAAAAAAATAGGAAAACATGCTTAAACATTGGTGGATTGCATTGAAGTAATAACCAAAAGGGAAATTTAACTCCATTAAACAATCAAATAATACCAATTAAGCATTCAATATAATACAATCAGAAGAATCCAACAACAATAAACATGATTAAACAATAACAATTTACCAAAAATTTGCTTATCATTTAATCATTTCCTCAAAAACCCTCTTAATTATAATCTAATCACACTACAAAACTTCATTAAAAAAAAAAACAAATGTCCAACTTACTCTTTAGTGACGACGAGGACATGATCAACCAAACGTTGCATCATGGGGTTATTTTTCATCCAAAGTTCTAATCTTTCTTGGAACCCCTCTTCAAAATCCAATATTTCTAATACCAAATCCAAATATACGCAGAAAAACAACAAAATTAACGAAACCCAGAATCGGATCAAAGTGAAACACAACAAATTTTAATGAAGGTTTATGAAGAGATTTGTGTTTCACAAAATCATAACAAACAAAAAAAACCCAAAAAGTACTTATTATTTTTTTACGAGGACGAAGTCGGTGGTTTATGTCGGAATGGCACGTGGCGTAAAATAATTGGTTGAAATTCTATATTTTATTGAAATGGATTAGGTTTACACGTAAGGTGTGGGACCCAAGTATTTATGTGGTGATGCTATATTCGCCAACGTGATTTTTAGGAGAATCTGCACCGTTGATTAGTGTAGATTAGATTCGGAATCTGATGAACGGTTAGGATTGAATTAAGATTTTCAGTGAGTTACGCGTGGCTTAAGTAGTTACCTCTTGCTTGAAAGAAGGGGCACGTAAAAATAAGTGATTTTTTTTCTCTAAGTTTAGGGGAAAATAATTTATGACATTGATAGATAGAAGTAGTTAACTTTAATTAATTTTGAAGTTAAGTTTATTATTTTGTAGATTATTTATTTATGAAGATTCAATAAAATATTGATAGATTGGACGGAGTTTTTAAATGTGAAAGATATTTGAAAGAAGTGGGAGTTGGTCTTAAAATGTTTTGTTTGACTTTTTGCTTTTGCTTTAATTTACTAACGAAACATTTATTATATGTTTGGCGAAAATTTTATAATTTAAACAATGTTTTTTTGTTGTGGATTTGGTCACGTTACGAGTCTTTTATTTTTTTTGGATTGAGGTGATTTTCAAATTAGTGAAGAAATCTATTGTTTTTTTATCATACAGAAAGACTAAGGGATTGTACGGAAACGGGGGACAAATATGAATATGGTAGAAATGAGACACGACTCTTGATATGGTTGAAGATAAAGAAAGAATTGAAGAAGGAGGGTCGTGGATGATATTTGATCACTATATCACAGTGTGCAATTGAATTCCAGAATTTGATTTAAAAAGTTGCATCACTTATAGTACCGGGGCTTGGATTCAAATACCTAACTCATGAATGAAATATTATGTTGAGATTGTAATCCTTGCTCTTTCTATAGCGCTTGGTAAACCAATTAAAATTGACGTTATAACAATGGAGGCTTCTTGTGGGAAACATATTAAGATTTGTGTTAAGTTGAACCTAAACAAATTAGTTGTTGGTCACAAAATTTCTTAGAAAGTGGTCGAAAATAGAATATGAAGGCTTACATTAACGAGGCGAAAATTGGGGGCATTTATGGTCACATGGCTCATAATTGTTTCAAGGTGTGAGACACTAGTATGGCAGTGAAAGAATTACTATTAGATATAGTTTATTTCAGCATTTAGCATTTAGCTTTGCCACATGGCATTTTAGTTTGTGTATATAAGTAATTTAGTGTAATTGATTTTGTAGAGAGAGCATTGTGATATGGTAGGAGAACTAACTTGATGTTTTGCGTTTCGATAGCACTTGTGCGGATAGCAAGAGTCGCCATCGACTTTTCTTTTATCCAAAAGGAAAGATAAAAAAGCACAGGAAAGACCTTTCGAGATTATTTCTCGGGTTCGGGGGGTAGATTATGAAAAGGGAAGGTATTAGCACCCTTTTCATCCATGGTTTTCCATGGGCTCTTAGTTACTCGTTTAGATCACTTGCTTTCATTTGACAGTGTGCTTGTGGTGTGGGCTTTGAAAGTATTTTGAAAAATCTCTTTGTAATGGTTCTCGTCTCTATAAGAACGCGTACAAAGTTTTGTTTCAAAAAGTGGTTCAAAGATGTGTTTGTGAATCGTGTTTCAGAAAGTGTTTTGAAAATATGTTTTGCAATGGTTCTCGTCTCTATAAGAACGTATACAAAATGTTTTGTCTTTTTGAAAATGTTTTAAAATGAAAGTGTATGTGTGAAAAGTTTTTATCGTGAGCAAGCGAGTAACTAAGAGCGAATCTATCTACTCGAAAGGTCTTAAATTATTATTTTCTTCCTCCTTTTAATGGTGCTATCTTACCATTGATTTGGTAAGAAACCCCACCGTTGGATGTGAAGGGACAGGCGCGGGTCAATTTCACAATCATCGAAAGCAACTTAGGAGACACTTTAGCAATTTTCATAAGGGACGAGATCGTTTTAATCGATGGCAACATCGAGGGTCATCGAGGGACTACGATCTTTTTTATCGAAGGGTCATTGCTAGAGCATCCCATATTCGAGGGACATGATTGTATTTCCGAGGCAACGAGCGAGGTTACCCTAGAGGTGCGTGTGTGAAAAAGTGTGTTGGTTTCAAGTTATTTTATTCTTTGATTAGGTCATCTAGCGATTGGTTTTTTGAATCTTTCCATACACGCCTAGTTACTATACAATGTAAAGAAAGCAGTAAATTGCGGGAATTGAAGTTCTACGCTATTACAAAGTATTTGAGAATGGGGGTACAATTCTTGCAAATGGGGATGAATCAAATAAGATAGGAAGATCGAAATAATACAACCAAATCGAATTTTGTGCGATTTAATTAAAGCTATGATAATCCATAAAAAATAAAATCAACAAAATATGGAAATGAAATGTTAAGTATTTACTTGAAAAGAGAAAAGTAAAACCTATTCTAAAAATAAAAATAATTGATTAAATTATATTCTTTATTTTTTGTATTTTTATTAATTTAAGTAAAATCTAAAGAAAGAAAACAAACTAAATTATTTTGTTTTGGTGTTTTATTATGTCTAAAACAAAAAATTTATTAAAAAAAAGAAAATGATAAAAATTATTCAAAAAAAAAACCTAAATCAAATTAAATAAAATATATTTTATGTTTTATTAGTAATTTGCATAACCAAGAAAAGAATGTAAGAAGAGAACAAATTAAAAAAAAACGTAATGGGCTTAAGGTGATCTGAGAAGAGGCCTAAAGAAGTTAAATACTACTCTTGCTGTGACAAAGAACAAGCCAAGGTGAGGGGTGAGACCAGCAAAACACGAATGGGCTTAGGGATGTTCACTGGGCTGTCCAAACATTTGTTTAGTAAAACAGAAACCAAGTTTCTTAAACCAAAATTATGCTATTTGATTAAGGGGCAAAATAGAGTTAGGGTTTTTGGAACTCTCCTCACGCGACGCCGCTGTTCATCTCTCTCATTCATCTCTATATCATCTTACTGAATCCTCTAAATGTTCCTACTACTCGTCCCTGTTTCATTTCGCGAACAGAATCGCTCTCTCCATGCTAATCCCTTGTCTCATCGTGATTTACATCTCTTTGAAACCCTAGTTTCGAATCTAAACCTAAAAGAAACGAAATTAGTTCATCCTTGCCCTCTCTAAACTCTCTGTTTCCAGAATACGGTCGTTCTCGCCTCCCTACTCAAATGCTAACGATGTTCTTTGAAAAAAAGGGTAAGGTTACAAATTTCGTTGATTTTATTGTCTTATCATTTTTTTTTCCTGTTAATTAAGCTCATGATTTTAGATGCAGAGAAATATGTTATGGAATAATGAGAAAGATGAAGAATCCATACCTGTTGGAGCTATACGATTTCTTGTGATTTAGAAAGGGAGAGGCGATACGGTGACTGTATTCAGTGGCAGCAGAAGTCGCGCGAGGGGAAGAGGTGGTTTCACTGGTTTGTTGATAATTTCTTCTTATCTCTGTATTTTGAATGATGGTGATGCTGGTTATTGTTTGATGAGGCTTTCTTACTATGTTTGAGATTTTGGTTTTGGATTTGTGGATGTTTTCTGTTTTTTTGAGTTTGTGGCTTTTGGAGTTTTGGTTTTGGATTTGTTGATGTTTATCAGGTTTTGAGTTTGTTACAGGTTTGGTTTGATGATGGTTACTAGTTTTTGTTTTTAATGAAGGCTTAGCAGGTTTGGGATTTTTGATGGTTATCAGGTTTTGAGCTTTTGAGGTTTTACAGGTTTGGTTGGCAGTTTGAAATCCTTGTTGTTGGTTAACAGGTTTTCTTGTTTTGATGAGGGTTACTGTGTTTGAGATTTTGGTTTTGGATTTGTGGATGTTTTCTGGTTTTTTTAGTTTGTGGCTTTTGGAGTTTTGGTTTTGGATTTGTTGATGTTTATCAGGTTTTGAGTTTTTGAGGTTTTACAGGTTTTTGTTGCTTGGTTTTTGAGAGTTGGATGCTGGTTTTTCTATCCTTTCAGTTTGAGACTTGTCAACTGTATTTTTGCTTGAGGCTTGTGTGTCTTTCTATTGCTCTCCTCCCTGTTATATTGACCCTGCTTCTGTTATCCATATTCAAAATGGTGGGAAACCAAAAAATTGAATATTTTAGTATATTGTCCTTATGGCTTTTTTGTTGCAGTTTTGTTTTTTAGCACATTCTATGCAACTTGTGACAGGCAGGGCAACAAGGCTGTGTATTCCAATAACATAGGTGACTTCTTTCCTCTCTTCTCTCTCAATGACAATAAGAAAGCAAATTTCTCTTTTGCCTTTTTTCCAATTCTGAAAGGTTTGCATGGAAAATGATGATATATTGCTTCTTGAGCAAGCTTTGCTTATTTGCTTATTTGTTTATTTGTTTATTTTGCCATACTGCTGCCTACTTTAGCTTTTGTTGACTTAGCTATTTGCTGCCTCGTTTTTTTGTTGATGCTGCTTGGGCATTCTGTTTGATTCAGTTTGCGCATTTTGTTTGGTTCAATTTGCGCATTTTGTTTGGACAGTTTGTGCATTTTGTTTGGACAGTTTGTGCATTTTGTTTAGACAGTTTGTGGCATTTTTGTTTGGACAGTTTGTGGCATTTTTTTTGGACAGTTTGTGGCATTTCTTTTCCTCTTTCTTTTTGTGAACCAAGAAGGGTAACCTTCTTGTGATTTGCAAATAGGAAATAGATTGTGATGAAATAAAATGGCATTCTGATTCCATTCTTGCAAACCTTAATGATGAATACCTTT